TGATGATGATAACAAAAAGTTTTTATTCGTTATCGAAAAAAAAAAATTATGAAAAACCTTTTTATATTTTCATAACAAAAGAATTTTAAATGAGGAAAAAAAAAATAATAATAATAATAATAATTTGAAAAACGTATTCACGTCTGTATAAAAAAATTTTGTTTTCTGTTGTTGTTGTTGTTTTTTTTTATTGTTTTTCCAGCGGTTAATAATAAATGAAATATTAATTGTTAATAATTTTTTAAACAAAAAAAAAATTTCGTATTGTTTAATACGCATTTGTTTTATTTTAGAAAAATACACACACACACGCACACGCACGTAAATTTTCTCAGGGAAAACGTTGTTGTTGTTGTTTATGTTGAGGTGATGACGTTTTAACAATACGAAAAACATAATTATGTTTGTGTTTGTTTACAGTTATGACAAGATCCCGAGAAATATTTCACGTCGATCAATCAGATTTGGAAAATAGTAAAAAAGGAATGTTTATAACTAAAAAACAAGGTTTTGTTTTTTTAATTTTTTTCGTCATCGGTAGCATTTTCGCGGCGTGGCTCTCACATTATTTCACATCGAAATCATTATTAAATAACGAAAACGTTTTAGAAAAAAAATTAAACGATTGCCTATTGGAATTAAAAGAAAAAGATGACGATTTTTTCGACGATGAGGAAATCGTCAAAATCAAATTAGAAAATCTTAGATTGCCAAAATCCGTCGTACCTGATTTGTACGATGTTAAATTAATACCATTTCTATCGGAAAATAATTTTACATTTAATGGTGAAATCAAAATTTTAATAAACGTGACAGAAAATACGAATAATGTCACGCTTCACGTTAACGATATAGAAATATATACGGATAGTATAGCATTGGAAGATGCGAAAAGTGGTCAAAATGTATCCGTCTTACGTGTCACTAACGATACAGAAAGACAATTTTTTATAATATATACAAATTTGGAAAAAGATCATCAGTATAATGTTAAAATGAATTATGTTGGTCATTTAAACGATCGACTTAAAGGTTTTTACAGGAGTTCTTATGACGTCAACGGTACGAAAAGGTAATTAATTATTAATAATAAAAATTTACAATAAATTAATAATAATAATTTTTCAAACGATAAAAAAATTTTTTTTTTTTCGATTAGATGGATAGCCACGACTCAATTTCAAGCAACCGATGCGAGAAGAGCATTTCCATGTTTTGACGAACCGGAAATGAAAGCTAAATTTAAAATAAACATCGGGAGACCGAAAAATATGTCATCGATATCAAACATGCCGTTGAATAAAACAGGAGAACCAGTGTGAGTAATGGTGAAAACTCATCATCCCTCTCTCCTTAGTTTATTTTGTTTTTCTTCTGCTTTCAATCTTTTATCTCTCTCTCTCTCTTCCTTTTCCGGGGAGAGAAAAATAGGAAATGAGGTAATTTTTTTTTTTATTTTCCGATTTTATTTGCGACAGTGAAATGTTTTTTACTGCGAATTATTTTAAAAAAAAAAAAATTTAGGTTAAATTTAAGTGATAAATTATATAAAAAAAGTCCTTCACCCGGTTATGTACACGTGACGCATCACGTGTAATTTTATTTATTATTATTATTATTTATTTTACAGACAGGGTTTAGAAGATTACGTTTGGGACGAATTTGAAGAATCGTTACCCATGTCAACCTATCTCGTGGCATTTGTCGTTTCTGATTTTGCCAACATTACAAATTTTAACGACACCGTTTTTTCAGTTTGGACGAGAAATTCGGCCATTAAACAAGCAGAATACGGTTTGGAAATAGGGCCGAAAATATTAAAATATTTTGAAACGTATTTTGGAATTAAATTTCCTTTGCCTAAAGTCGACATGGCGGCTCTACCGGATTTTGCCGCGGGTGCAATGGAAAATTGGGGTCTTATCACGTACAGGTACCTACGATTACATCCGTTCGTTATTTTCAATAACGGGTACAACGGGTTAAAGGTCAATGATTATTTTTAAAAAAATTTTTAGAGAGACTGCAGTTCTTTACGATCCGAAAGTATCAACGAGTAGCAACAAACAAAGAGTGGCTGTCGTCATATCTCACGAATTAGCTCATCAATGGTTTGGTAATTTAGTGACTCCGACTTGGTGGACGGATTTGTGGCTCAACGAAGGATTTGCTAGTTACGTCGAATATTTAGGGGTTGAAGCGGTCTGTAAAATTTATTTATAACGTTGTGACGTCATCGTTATTAAATATATATATAGAAAAAAAATTGTTCTTAAATTTAAAAATAAAATAAAACAGGTGGAACCATCTTGGAAATTAATGGAACAATTTGTCGTACAAGAAATTCAATCCGTGTTTGCTTTGGATGCATTAAAAACATCTCATCAAATATCTGTCACCGTTCACAATCCGGATGAAATAAGTGAAATATTCGATAAAATTTCATACGAAAAGGGTAAATAAATTTTCCTTTTTTTCCTTTTTTTAAAAAAAAAACAAAATCCGTAAATAAACTTTTTTTTTTTTTAAATAAGGAGCGTCGCTCATTCGAATGATGGATCATTTTTTAACAACGGAAGTTTTTAAAAAAGGATTAACAAAATACTTAAACCGTCACAAATATTCAAACGCAGAACAAGATGATTTATGGACAGCATTAACGGAACAAGCACACGAAAATTCAGTTTTGGACAAAAACACAACCGTTAAAATGATCATGGACACGTGGACCCTACAAACCGGATATCCTGTCGTAACCGTCAAAAGAAATTACGATAAAAAAAATGCCCAAGTCACTCAAGTCAGTATTAATAATAATAATAATAATTTGTCACCAAACACTTTCGTCAAAATAATAACCTAATGGAATTTTTTTTTAAAAGGAAAGATTTTTACTTTTCAAATCATCAAAATCGATTCGGGATCAACCGGAAAAGGAAGAACAAGATTCATCACTTTGGTGGATTCCATTAACATTTACAAATCCGACAGAATTAAATTTTAATTCAACGAAACCGATTCAATGGTTGAAAAAGGAAAAACTAATAACTCTTGATAATTTTCCAAACGAAAACGATTGGATTCTCTTCAACATACAAGAAACGGGTTAATCATTATTATTATTTTTTTATTATATTAATATATATTAGTTATAATAATAATAATATTGTTTTTTATTCTGCGTAGGTTTTTATAGAGTGAATTACGATGAGAAAAATTGGAAATTATTAATTGATTACATGAACGATGTTAATTTATATGAAAATATTGGAATAATCAATAGAGCACAATTAATTGATGACGCATTAAATTTAGCACAAGCTGGACTATTAAATTATCAAACAGCCATGAATGTGACTCGTTATTTATCTAACGAATTAGAATATTTACCGTGGAAATCGGCATTGAGAGCATTTTCTTATCTAGATAATATGTTGATCAAAACTCCCGGTTATGATAAATTTAAGGTTTTTAACGTTAATAAATAAATAAATAAATCGATCGATCATCATTATTATTTTATAAAAAGTAAAATCCATGTTTTCAGGCATACAATTTAAAAATATTAAAAAAATTATACGATTCTGTCGGATTTGAAAGTGGAGTAAATGATAGTTATTTGACGATACAAAAAAGGATAAATACTTTGGTATGGGCGTGCGGTCTTCAACACGAACATTGCGTTAATAATTCGGTGGAACAATTTAAAAAGTGGAAAAATGCACCCGATCCTGATAAAGAAAATCCGTAAGTTTTTTTTTGTTGTTGTTGTTGTTATATTATCGATTGATAGATAACGCAAATCGATAATTTTGATAAAAAAAAGTTTTTTTTATTATTTTTTTCGTCGTTTCGAATAAGAGCGAACTTATTGACTGTTTATTGAAAATAATCGATTATTAACCTGACGACATTTTATTTAGGATATCACCAGATTTAAAAAATGTCGTTTATTGTACGGCTTTGGAAGTTGGAAACGAAGCCGATTGGAATTTTGCATGGGAAAGATTTTTAAAAACAAATGTCGCGCACGAAAGAGATTTACTTTTGGATGCGTTCGGTTGTAGTCGTGACGTGTCCATATTGAGCAGGTAGTATAACGAATCGAGTTCTCGATTTGTAAAAAAAAAAAACCGTTGATTTGATCAAAGATGTCATGTTACAGAGTCCTGGACAGAGCATTCACGGAAAATAGCGGTATAAGAAAACAAGATGTCGCAAGATTAGTTAACAGCGTATCGAAAAATCCAGTCGGACAAGTTTTAACATTCGAATTATTAACGCAACAATGGGAAAAATTAAATAATTAGTTAGTATTATAAATATCGATCGATTTATCGATCTATCGATTTCGAGTACATAATCTAATAATAATAAATTTTTCAGTTTGGGAATATCGTTCTTAGGCGGTAGTTTAGTATCGAGCGTGACGAAAAATATAAATTCGGAATCCCAATTGAAACAATTAAAAACATTTTCTAGAAAACATTCGAAAGAACTCGGACCAACGAAAAGAGCATTAAAACAATCCATGGAACAAGCAGACGCCAATATAAAATGGATGAAACAAAATTACGATACGTTAATTAATTGGTTTACCGATGCCATAAGTTAAAAACCCGAAAAAAAAAAATTTCCTTTTTTTAAAATGTTTTTAACGAGGGAAAAAAAACAGGTTAACTGGAATTTTTTACCCCCTGGAGAAATTAAAAAAAAAAAAAGTTAATTTAAAATAAATAAATAAATAATAATAATAATAATAATAATAATAAATTAAATGAAATGACCGTTGAATTTTTTTTCTTTTTACGTTTTCCATCGAATCTTTAGACATATTATAGCGAAATTATTTTCATTATTTTTTTTTTTTTTGAAACGAATTTAAACGTTGATTATTGTTTTTAAAAATAATTTAAATAATGATAATAATAATTAAAATCAATCAAATAATGATAATATACATATATAATAAAAAATTTTGTTTTTTTTTTTTACGTAAAATATTTTCGTGTATATATATATATATATATATGTATATTAGACGTAAGACATTTACATTTAAATAAATGTAATGAATTTATTATTATTATTATTATTATTATTATTATTATTATTATTAGTATTATTGTAAATTTAATTTAATTTTTTTTTTTTGGTATTGACTTTATATTTTTACGTATTTTATTTTTATTTTTTTTTATTTTTATTTATTTTTATTTTATTATCAGCACGCAATTGCGTACATTTTTTATTTTTTATGCCTAATCCTAAGAAGTTGTTGTTTATTTATTTTTTTTTTTTTTCAAATTATTTATAAAAATTTTCTTTTTTCTTTTCGTTTAATTAATTAATTAATATGGTTTTTCTTTTGTCAAGAGAAAATTTTTTATTTTTTCGATGTTGGTACGGTATTTTTTGTACCGGGAGGTGTAACAGGTCTCTGAAGCCAAAAACTTTTACTGACCTGTGCCAATGTGGCTCTTCTTGTTATATCAGGTGCTAATAAATGCCTGAAAACGATATAAATTTTGCATGGATGTTTAAACAAATTTTTTTTTTTAGTCAAAAGGATAATTTAGTATACTCACATGACTAATTTTTTAGCCAAAGGACTCACTAAAACTTGACTTTTAGATGGAAACGTTAACGATTTTGTCAATTGTATTTCTAACATTTGTGCAACGTTCGAATCGTCAAAGGGCATAGTTGCCGTTAGCATTATATATAAAACACATCCGAGGGACCAAATATCATACATTTTTGGATTATAAGCGTGTCCCTAGAAAAATAAATTTTCCTTCTTATTCCACGTTTTTTTATAAATCGAAATAAAATAATTTAATATTACAAAAAAGAAGGGGGAAAAAAAAATTCAAGGAAATTATATCAAATTATAAAAAATTTTTTTATCGTTTCATCCGTTCATCCGTTCGTTCTAGCACCCGTTCGATTATAATTTAATTTTTTCGAGATAAAAATTTACTTGTAAAATTTCTGGTGCTGCATATGCAGCGCTCCCGCAAAAAGTTTCGCTTAATATTCTTTGTCCGGCATCGTTTTTACACCATCTGGCAAATCCAAAATCCGTTATTTTAACGACATCTCGTTTCGATAACAAAACATTTTCACATTTTAAATCTCTGTGTGCTATATCCAAAGAATGTAAATATTCGACAGCGTTAACTATTTGCCTGAAAATCCCCCCAAAAAAAAAAAAAAAACCAAAATGAAATCCACTGAAAATTCGACTCCACGACCGACACGTTAAGTAATTTACCTATATAACTTTACTACGTAATCAATTTAATGACGTCATGACTCACCTAAAAAAATGTTTTGCTCTGTGTTCGGATAATGCACCCTTATTTCTTATATAATCCAAAAGATCACCCTGTTCGCATAATTCCATAAATATAAAAACCGTGTTTTCTATTTCGAATACGTTATGAACGGATACTATGTTCGGATGTGATATTCTCTATAAAAAAAAAAATTAAATTTTTTATTTAAGTAAATGACCCGTTCGCTCGCACGTTCTAAATACACGACAAATCATCGAAAAAATCATGTTTGATTATATGTATGAGTGTTTTTAGTAGTAGGACGTGACGTTACGTCGATATTAACGATCGGGATGATTTTTAAAAAAAAAAAAATTATAATTACATTAATTAACGTTAAATGTTTTAATCGAACGCACCCCTCCCCCCCCCCCGAAAAAATTGAATGATAATAATAATAATAATAAAGGAAGTTAAACGTTGATGGTCCGTTGCAATCACCATCACATCGTCATCATCGTATGGATGGAAAAGCGACGTGAAAATTTTTTTCTAAATACGATTTTAAGGTGATAAAGGAATAATAATAATAATAATAATAATGATAATAATAATGATAAATTAATACCTTTATGATGCTTAATTCTCTTGGTAAAAATTTAACGACGAATTCGTTTGACGCTTTTTTTTTATCAATCATTTTACAAGCGATTTTCTTATCGAAACCATGTTCTGTCGTTTTAAATGCGACCCGAACCTTACAATAAGAACCTTCTCCGATGCTTTTACCAATGACGTAACCCTCATCTCTAAGAACTTTAGCAACTTCCGCGGAGAGACCGTTAAGTTCTTTGACAATGTTTTTCTGTTGGAGTTGTCCACCGGTTTTCGTGAGAGGTTGACTTTTATTTAAAAGTGCCGCAATGGGTTTGGCTTTTGTTTTCTTATCCGGCGATGAAGGATTTGTTTTATGGGTTTCTTTAAGTGCCACACCGACCGCAGTTTGTGGTTTTTGTGATGTGAAGCAATCATTATTATTGCTTTCTCCATTTGTATTATTTGTTATTTTACATGTTATTGGACGGACGCGGTTTTTACCTACACCCACCGACCCGGCCAACATTTTAATATTTTACTCAACATTTAAATTTAACATTTAAAAAAAAAAAAAAAAAATTAGATAAATAAATGAATAAATTATTTTATTATTATTATTTTTTATTATTATTACTATTATTATTATTATTTTATTTATTTATTATTATTATTATTTTTTTTTTTTGAAACCGATCCGAAATAAACAAAAAAAAAAAAAAAAAAAAAGTTTTACCGTAAGAAAACTGTATTACCCGATTGTCATGTAATTGTATATATATATTACACATGTACTAAAAGATTTTTTTTTTTTTTTTTTTTTTTTTTAAAAACAAAAAAAAAAAAAATTACGGGTTTAAAGTTTTATATATATATATATATATTTTTTTTTTTTTTTAGGGGGAAAGGGGGGGGGAAATAGATATATAAGTAAAAAAAAAAAAAAAAAAAAAAAACTATTTATATAAATAAAATATACGCCATTATATAAAAATAAAAACTTTTCTTCTGTTTTTGTTTTTTTTTTAAAATGTTGTTGGCCAACCTTTCTTTATTTTTCGTGCCACCGTTTTTATTAATTAATTTTTCCAAAGTACCAACCGAAACCCATTCGACAATAACAACAACAGCAAAATAAAAATGGCGACGTAAATATTTACATCGTTTTATATATTATTTCATGGAACACACTCAAACGCGAAAATATTATTATTATTATTATTAATTTAAGACGTGGTTTTCCGGTAAGTTTTTATAAATTTTAAAATTATGTCTGATAACGTGGGAAAACATTTAAATTATTATCATTATTAATAATAAATAATATCGATCGATAATTTCTGGTTTTATTCCCCAAATTTCCACATTTCAGCCTGTTGTCTCCTTCTTTGGCTGTCGTCTGGTGTGTCTTTTTCCGCTGGTACGGATGCTTCAATTAGCTTACACCATTTTGTCCCGCAGGATGATATCCGGTTTGTTGGCTAGCACACAGTTCCGTCAGTGTGGATTTGTTGGTCGTATAGAATCGTGCATGGACCTACTGTCGTAGCCGGGTTTGGAATGTGGTCGTACCACTCTTTGGGTAATCCATCCATTCCATATTCTATGTTTTCTTCCATTATCACTCCTTGGGATAAGGTGAGGTGCTGTTGATGGGGTGCATTCCACGTATTTTCCCTTTCGGATTATGGCATTCTAGTACGCCGCTTCTATTCGGCGTAGTCTTCTTCCCCCCATTTTTCCTGCTGACGTACTACATCAGCTACATCAGGTTCAGGTTCTTCCATCTTCGATTCTTATTTTTATTTTTAAAAATTTAATGATTATCGATAAAAAATCAATAATGAAATTTTATTAATGATTTCGTTATTACCAACCATTTTTTTTTTTTTTCGAAAAGGAAATTTAAAGCAAATCAAGAAAACCGAAAAAAAATAAAAACGGTTTTTTTCATTTCCCCCGTTCGGTTGGTTGTTTCCTTTTTTTGATTGACTTCCTTTTCCTGCCATCAATTTACAAGCGTAAAAAAAAAAAAAAAATTTATAATTTTTTTATTTTTTATTTTATTTTTTCCTTCGAAGGAAAAAAAAAATGATAATAATAAAATAAAATCATTAGGAGATGAAAAGTGCTTTTATTATCCCGTGACCTTCCCTTCCCCCTCTTCCATCCTTTTTTCCGCGTCTCCTTCCACGACGACGATAAACGATGTCGTGATTTAAAAACGTCAATTTTTAATGTTATATTCAAATTCTCTCTCGTCGACAGAATTTTTTTTAATTTTTTTTTTTCTTTCTTTCTTTCTATTGCCCCGACATGATTTTTTTTTTAATTAAAAGTTTTTTTTTTTTTTTTTATTTTATTTTGCGTAATTAATTTGATAACAAAAATAAAATAAAAATAAAATAAAAAGAAAGAAAGAAAAAAAAAAATTTTTTTTTTTTTAATTAATTTGTCAACTCTGTTCACACGAGGGTTTTTATTATCATTATCATTATTATTATTATTACGATGGTCGTTAAATGTACGCGCGTAATTAAAATTTTTTTTCTTTTTTTATGCGTAGAATGTTGCGATTCCAAGTAATAAATTTTTTATCAATTTTTTATTATTACGTAATAATTTTTTTATCCGCCATCGAAAAAGTTTAATCCGTTGTTGTTATAAATTTATTTATTTATTTTTTTTTTTTATCAGTTTGCCGACATCTTTAAAATATTTTACAATTGATCTATTATTATTATTATTTTTTTTTATACATTGATAAAAAATTAACGTGGAAAATCTTTTCTTTTTTTATAAAGTCCCCCGTAAAATTTTTAATTCTCAACTATAAATTCAATTTATTATATTTTAAATAATAATATTATTTATCGATTATTATTATTATCATTATCATTATTATTAATAACCGATCGTAAATAATTGATTTATTAAATGGCATCGTTTTTTTTTTTTTTTAAATGGATAACCAACGGCGCGTTAATAAAAACGATTCGACGGTAATTATTATTCTTTCTGGTGACACGAACCAAAGTTTTCCATTAGTATTTCTGCGTATAATATTATTATTATTATCATCATCATCGTAATTATCACGGGGTTGATTTTTCTACGATTTGACGTGTTATTACTTTTAAAACGACGCCATTTGTTTTTTTTTCACGTTTAAAAACAAAAGAGTGGGGCGAAAAAATGAAAATTTTCATTCATTTGATTTTTAATTCAATATTATTATTATTATTATTATTGTTGTTGTTGTTAATGGTTATCCGAATCGATTAATCGATTTTAAAAAAAAGGTTAATTTAATAAAAAATCGATTTAGTCGAAAGTGGTGGTGGTGGCGAACTCCCGTAATCGAACTACTACTCGGAGGGCAGGTGTAGAGGATGTTTAAGGGGGCGGGGATTCGGGGATTGGATTTCTCAGGTTGACTAGGTTTAAACCTTTGACTTGGATGCCTTGTGAAGCCAGGAAGAGGCCAAAAAGGGGAAAAATCGGGCCAAAAGTCACACCGAGTTGAGGGTCGTGAGTTCGAATTCTGGGAATGGGAGTTCAACTTCCGGCTCGTTCAATAGACCTGTACCTAGCACTCCTTTGAGGCATTGGGGATGCGCTAACCCTTACTCGTGAAAAAATAACAGAAGAACTCGCTCAAGAGGAGATTCAGGCTAAATGCAGGTCGTACTTCCCCCAACGCTCCTCTTTCCGGGAAACACTTCCAGGAATTTTAGTGCCCCATCCTCTCCCTGCTACCGGATGAGGGGGAGGTTACGGTACAAAATGCATTTCACCCAAAAAACCCGATAAAATCAATTTTATTAATTTAAATATCAAAGTTTTTAGTTAATTTAATACTATAAAGTTTTAGTATATTGAAATGAATATAAAATTGAGGAGAAAGTCTTGTGACAATAACAAAATCTAATGAAAAAGGTTTAATTTATGTTTCAAAAGGCGGATTCAATTTTGATTTTATGTGTTTATGTTTATGTTTTCTTACAAACAAAAGGAGTTTAAAATAACATTTTCACATCCGATTGTAATTAAACTATTTAAATGTACGCGTGACGTATTTACTGGAGAGTGGAGGCGGGGCGGGAGCGAGGGCGAGATGGGGGGAGGAAGAAAAGAAGGATAGACATTTTTAGAGTTTTCACAAATTTTTCTTTTTAATAATACGACTCCTTATCGATCAAAAATGGAGGAAAAAAATGATGAAAATTGTTCAGACATTGATCGTTTTGTTGTTGTTGTTGTTGTTGTTACACAATTAAATCATAACCGTTTTCATAACTTTTTACTTAATCGAATTTGAAACGATATTAAATAAATTCGAAACGAAATTTCATCATTATTATTAATTACCGTTTCGAGGAGAGGGCGAGGTATATTTTTTGGTCGGAAAATTGTTTTCTATCATCGTAACAATTTAAAATTTGAAGAAAAGCGAAAAGGGAACGGGGAGTAGGGATGTTAAAAGTTAAGCTTTCCTCTTTGGGTAGGGAGGAGGGTGTGAGTGAGTGAGAGGTCAAGGTCATTTCATAAAAATGTAAATTTTTTTATAATAAAAAATTATTTTCAAACGGTTAAGGGATTTTCTTTCTTTTTTTTTGTTCCGTCGTTCGGGGATGAAAAAAAAAAATTTTTTTTTTTTTAAGGCCCTGAAAGTTTTCCCTTTTTCTTATTATTTGATTTTTCTTCGTTCGGACGACCTGAGTATATTTACTTTTACTTCAGGTCCTTTAAAATCTTCTTTAAAAAATTTTTTTCCTCCCTTTTTTTTTTTTTTATCTTTTTCAACCGGCGACATTTTAAAAGGTTTTTTTACTTTTTTCCTTTTTTCCGACTCAAATGTATATTTAAAGAAAGTAAAAAAAAAGCTTTTCGAGTTTTTATTTAGTTATTTTAAAAAGTTAAACATTAAAAACGATGGGAAGTGACGAAGAGGATTTAATGGGGGGAGGGGAGAGGGAGAAAAAGGTGTAAACATCTTTTTTTTTTGTTGGATTGTAGTAAAACGGAAAAAGATTTCAAAATGGGTTTGTATATTATAAGTAATTATTTTGGAATATTTAAATGATAAGTGTTATCACAATGTCACGTGATTGAAAACCAAAACAAAAAAAAATAAATAAACTCACGGGAAAGAGAAAAAGAAAATTTCCAAAATGGTGATGATGATGACAAACAAAAAAACAAAAAGTTTCGTTCGTCACCTTTGACCCGTAAAAAAATTTTCTTTTTTGTTTTTCCGGCGTTTTTAACCTCTCTTCCCCCTTCTCCCCTCCTCCTCATCCCCCTACTAAAATTTGTTGATAAAATAAATTTTCGAAAATTTAATTTTGCGTATCATTAAAACAATTTGTTCAAAATTTTAACAAAAAAAAAATTTTCTTGTGTCTTAGATAGGGAAAAAAAAAAAATTGAGAAAATTGTGAAAATTGATTCGGAAAATTTTCAAATTCACGAATGAAAAACTATTTTTTTTCTTATTCGACGACATTAAAATATCACAAAAAAAAA